CCCCTAGGCCTTAGGGCCTAGGGCCTTACCCGGCATGTGTCTGTCATAACCCATAAGGTTGCATATAGACGTTAAATATGAATAATAAATAAATAAAACCTAGGATTAATATAGATAGAGCTAGTTAATAAGAATAAATATAAGAAAAAATATAGAGATATAAATATATAAATAAATAAAAATCTATATATTAGAGATAAATAAAAAAGAGTAGGTACACGTACATGTGCTATTAATATATAGGAGTAAACATATATTAGCACAATTAGTATAAATAGTACAAATTAGTACAAAGAATAAGTATAAATAGGATATATGATATATAGGAATAATAAGAGTTATAGAAAGATAAAAACTTCATATAAGAACACTAAACCCATATATTTACACTATTTAATTATTTTTAATATATTTAATTAGTTTATATTTATTATTTATCTTATTTATATATTTATATTCTTAATAGCTTCCCTTATAATACACCTCTCCTATAGCTACGCCACGATTTACATTAGTGCCTGCCGGCTCAGGCACACACCTAGATAGCGGCCTTTTAGACATAGCTAGCTACAGCGGGTATATCAAATCTAACTAACTAACTAACTATTTGTAGTAAGCTAGATTAAATGGCGAGTGGAAATTATAGGAAAGCTAATGAAGGATAATCACAAGCAAGTTGAAGGTTTTTGGTAATTTGGGTGTAACGGTACGGAATGTAGCAGAACCATGAAATCTTTGGGGCCGTCATTCAGGCTGTCCCCTCAATTATTCCTGGCAGCCAATGCATCCTTCTGGCTTTGTAGGCTCGGGAATTGTCTGATCGGATTGATCATAGAGATACCAAGAGTTTCGACACCAGGATCAAGCCCACATCTATTCGGTATCAGAGCTTGGCATTGAGCATGGCAAGTATTTTTACATGCCTCACATCGTCTGTTGGCACCTTCTTGATTACCCTGCCCCAGAGATAAGAGATATCCACAGTGAGAACACCACTTCATCGATACATTGAAATATGGCACCCATTGATGGCGAAATACACGATATCTCGCGTATTTTCCACTGTTCAAAAGCAATATATGTCGTCGTTTTGCTTCCTCCATTGATGAATGACTTTGATCCAAGCAGGGCGGCAGAAAGTGAGAGGGAGGTGAGTGGCATCCGGATGGTGTATGACAAAGTATTTTGCACGTTGTACACTGTATGACACGCGCAAATGAATCACAGGACTTATGACAAACAGCGCATCGCATTTGGTGAGGGAACTTCTTTATCACAAAATTATGACCAGCTGGGGATTGACCATTGTGTAGGGGATATGGCTGACCATTGACTTCTGATAGCTCAGCTGAGATTGGATGGGTTAGTAGGCGAATTTAATGTTCGCTGTTCCATGCTGTCTTACCATAATCAATTATCAGATTAACTCTCCCTGCAGGGGTTATCGCGAACCAAGAATCAACGTTTGTAGAGGTATGCTGCTGAGGGTTGCCAGAATCGTTGATATTATAGTTGAGAACATCAATGACAGGGAGCCAGAGAGAACCAACGGGGTATTTGTCTGTTTCATCTCCATTTTCATCGTAAAAGATCAACTCGACAGTACTCTCACTTGAAACTTTTCCACAATCCAATATCACATCTTCATCAAGTTCCAGATTGATGTAACGAATCGAACGCGCCAATTCGTCTCCGAATGAGTACTTTTGGAAGTTGGCATAAGATCGAGTAGCAACGAGCACTCTATCCATGGTAGTTAAGCCCTCAAGCGCGCGTATACGAACGAGTAGATTGCCTTCTCTTTGCGGCTCAGCCGGACTATCGATGCAGATCTTTCCTTCTAAGCGACCAAAAAAGTTTACATTATATCGTTTTAGCAAGGATGGATATGAGTTATGATGGGAAGTGGAGTGACAAATTACCGGCTAAAAATGAATCCATGTCATCAAAGCTCGCAAACATCTTTGATTTCACATAAAGGTCAAGGATCGATTCGGAGTAACTCTTTGTCTTCTCAATGAATAGTTGATGAGCGTCAACAGCGAAATCGGTTCGCGGCCGCATCGGCTGTATCATCTGCTTTGGTTCATTTCCTCGTGCGATTTGCAGTCTCCTTTCCCTGCTATCTTCAAAGTGCTTCCTGATAGCCTCTCGTGACAAGTACTCTTGGTACTCGTGCCGTATAAATTCGAGCTGATATAGTTTGAAACTAATCTTCGAGAGAGGCAGAAAAGCCTGACCATAGTCGTCATCTTGTACTGTGTCATCCTGGATGATCAAACCTGAGTCAAACGTTAGATTTGACCACAAGGCGAGGGAGATTCTTGAAGACCGATTTACAAAGTTTGTGAGAATCTGGTAGTCTTTTGATGTTTGCAAAATTCGGTCCTGGTCCTCGGTGATTCCAGATCTCGTCATGATCATTTTGAGTTTGTATAAAGACAATTTCCCAGTCTTTTTCTTCCCGTAGTAATTCAAGATTTCTGCGCTTCTCTTCAAGAAACCTTATTCTTGCCCTTGCCTCAGACGCTTCTTTATAATGCCCTGACTGGGGGTCAGGGACAGGCATACGTTGTATTATATATAGCATTACATTGCTGAATAGTCGATCTTGATATGCGTATCTTTTCCTCTATCAGATTGATTTCGTCGTCAATTGTCGCTTCCTGGAGTATATTCATCTTGTTATCTTGTCTTAGTTTTGAGAGTATGGTTAAAACAAAGACAGGATGAACAGACAGATTATCTCTTTATAGAGAAGGACGATTTGCAGTGGAAGTGTATATTTCAAACTGAATAAGACTGCTCAATAGCTGTTCCTGGATATAGCTGAAAACATGGACAGAAAAAGGTGAGAAGAGGGGTAAAGAGACACCTAAAGGCTACCGTAGCACTATGCTAATAAAGAAAGGGGGCGACCCTAGCTGCTCAAAGTCGATAGTCACTGAGGTACGGAAGTTTCCTTAAATTACATTAAAACTCCATAGACTTCTTCTTTGTGATTGGTCTGTCTTTATTTCCATGTTTACAATAGAATTTCCTCTGAGGGTGGTTGATACGAGGCTTCTTTAATGTTTTGGAGAGATAGCTCTTCTTTTCCGTCCTTCTTGCTGTTCCTAGATGTAGCTTGATGTTGGTTTTCTTTGGCGCGCTGATTGACGTCGTTCTATCGCTGGTGGTGCTGATTGGGGTGGTTAGCGCATCTAGTGTACAACTAATTATATTTAAAAATTATATTAATAAACTTATAATTCATATAAAAAAAGTTTTAAAAATCTATTGTAAATAAAATTAATTATATTAAATAATTTAAAATCTAAATATTAATTTTTATTAAAGAAAAAATTAATAAAATAAAAATAAAAC